GAAAATTGTCAGCAACATGGTGATCAAGAAGCGACGCATGCCCAAATTAATGACTAAAAGAAGGGAGAATATCCCTTATGAGGGACGCCTCGCTTAGGGCGTGCTTGGGCAATACCCTACCATGGGCCCCAGGCCACACGAACGTTGTTCCAGAGAAAGGCAAGAACTATAGCTGTCAGTATCTAAAGCTTTTCCACTTAACATGTAGATGTTGGGCTATGCAATTGTCCGTAGACTGAGGGCCAAATATACACGAAGCCCATAAATCGATAAGCACCATGGGAGGCTCGTCATAACCAGCACAATAAGTTCTTTGGCCGAATAAATTACCCAGATAAAGACAATTGATTCCAAAAGCCCTAAAGCGTCCTAAAAGGATTGGACCATATTATTTTAGGATAACCATCTACGTGTCTTTGGGATGCCTTTGCCAGGCTAGGCGCTTTGGGATAGCCACCTATCCATTATTGAGTATGAGAGTTCCAAAACTAGCATTTAATGCTAATACAAGCTCCTCGACTTTTGATTGGCGAAAACTCCAGATCGCCCGACATAGCACTAAATGCTCACAAGTCACAACTGGAAGCGTCGACACACTCCATGATATGCATGGAAGTTTGACCACAAACTGGATTGGGTTGAATGCAACGGGATTACATAATCCAATTCGAGTAGAAATTGCTCTGAAAACAAGCAAACTTGATGAAAAATTGGGTCTATTGGTTGGGACATTTGAGAACAATGGTGGGAAAGATCAAATGGTCGATTGGTTGAAAACAAGCAAGTTGCTAGAGCAGAATCGTCATGGAAGGATGTCCGAAGCTGTAGGAATCTTCAATTTCACTCAGAGATCCTTGGAGTGAAAATGCCCAAATCATAATTGAAGTTTCTCGGCTATGGCAATTTGAACCTCGACAATGGCGGGAAAGATATAATGGTCGATTCAACGACGATGACGATGAATCAAAACAAATGGCTGGGTCAGAAAGTTAATTGGGACCATGGAGAATCTCGCGGAAGCCATGAATTGGCTTGGATGTGCTTGAATAAAAAAGCCCCAATTTTGTTGTTGAAGAACACTGCCCTAGTTTAGCAGAATTTGGGGTTTGAGCAGCCTTCTTTTGACCCAATTTGGGAAGGATTCTGTGCTAATTTCGAAGAGACGAAGGTCAAATCTTTGAGGGCAAAGCTTTTTAAAGAGGGAGGTCCTGATACAATCCCAGATTGCCTCAGTTTCCATTCATAATGGATTGTTAAAGAAGTCCCCACTTTGGAGCTCAATTTGAGAAGGATGACTGCGAGTCGAGTCTAGAGGTTTAAACCACATGAAAGTAGATATAATTTACTACAAAGACGTGCAGTTGGATGATTGAATGTGTACCTTGAGTTCTTCGAACAAACGTGTGCAAGATCGGCCGAAGACTGGCAAAACTGTCTTGCAAACCAAGGAATCTGAATCCTTCTCGGATTAGGATTACTATTCAGTTTTGCACTTTGATTCCTTTTAGTTGTTGGTTTTGAGTTCGTTTTCGAGTTGTATTGTACTTAGAACTTCATTTTGAGTTGTAAGCGTAGCTAGGGTCTATTTAAGTCTAGTTGTTCATTGTAATTTTCAGTTTTTCATGCACAATCGAATACAAACCCGAGTTTGATTCATCTGCTTGTTGGCTTGACGAATTGAGTTGATTGCATAGTGGATTCCTAAGCAATTGCTAGCTTGTATCGATCAGCTAGTCACGTTGTTGGTGGCCAAGCCTCAACCTTTACTTCTCAATCCTTTTTTCCATTGTGAAAATTGCACGACAACTTCCACCCCAAACACGAAAACAACTCTATTTTTTGGTGTTCTTGTTCGAAGGAGATCAATCCAAGAATTTTGGTGTTTTTGGCTGCGTAATTCTGATCAATCCAAGAATTTATATGATTTTGTACGATTTTAAGGTTCATGTCAATTGGAGCAAAATCAGGTTGGTCGGGTTGGATTTTTGCCACGATCCGGGTCAAGTTCACTTTCCTTGACCCAACATCATGAACAACACAGACCTAACCTGATAGGAGACCCTCAATTTATTTTCGTTCTCTTCCTAATCTCTCCCTCACGCCAAACCCTCCCAATTAGGTCATTACTTGTTTTCTCATCACCCTTGCAATTAGCCCAATCTGCATCACCTCGCAAGTTTTTGTTTGTCGCACAAACCTTCAACGTCACCATCCCTATCCTTCATTCGATCAAAAAGGGAATGCATCTATCAATGAGTTACCTTTCCCAGACGATGGCAATTAAAGAAATATAATTAGTGCTAAAAGTACTTCAAGTGATCCTAAGAATAATGATATCATTGCTCAATCAAATAGACATGATTCTATGAGGGTGAGGGTGATGATATTGAGGAATTATATTTTAATGTTGATTCTAATGATATTATGTGATTTTTTACTCTTATCTACTAACTAGTTTAATTGATTTTTTTGAGGTTTGAGGTTGCTTAATTGTGGTTTTTATGTTATGCACAAGAACTAATCTATGGATTTGTTTGTGTTTATATAGCAAATGACTTGAAAAGTATTTAAGTGATTTGTGGTTTATTGTTATTTAGGATAGTCATTGTTATTACTATCCGGTGTTTTAAGTGTTAATTTATATATGAGCCTTAAAATTTTATGATTTTACATAAAATTTTGATTTTACGTTAAATTACGATTTTAACTACTTTGGCAGATAATTTAACTACATTGGCAGTAGGAAGATCATCTTGCACGACAGTGAATTGAGAAGATTTCTCCATCTTTCTCTCCATATTAGCTTGGTTACCTAATCTGCTAAAAGGGCGTTGGGAGAAGATGGTGTCAATGAGTAAGTGAATGCAAAAACAAAATTTGGACTCTAAAATATAATATAGGTGCAAGATTTTGCTCTACTCAAGGTAGTCTTCTAAGATCCATTTTTCAATGAGTCTAGTCCTGTCACCTCTACATGTCTCTAGTCCAGCATTTTTAGGGGGAGAGGCTGCTTTGGAACGTGGTTCTTTAAGCAAACAAAAGAAGATTAGGTTGTGTAGACAAATAGGACTGTCACTATGTTCGTAGGTCTCCCATAACCTGTGCTGTACTTGGATCAGTAACAGGACACCGCATTTACCCACTTTACTTGGAGTAGCATCTTGTGGTTCAAAACTTGGAAAAAAAGCTTCTGAACCCTAAACTTTACAAAGCACCAATAAATTGTTGCATCCCATAAGTAGGAATTTGGATGGGATCATCTGGTCAGAAACTTTAATGTTTTCCAACCAATAATTCACTGTATGCACATTTGTTTCCAACCCCCCACTCCCCCCCAAACTAATTGCAATTTCAGTAACTTTGATAAAAGGGTTCCTGGAAAAGGAACTTTCCTAATATCTTAGCATCATATGCATAAAGTTCAATTCAAAGAGAGACAAGGCTGTAAAAACAAGAAGGTTCCTCTGAAACAAGTAATTAGGTCATCCTTAAAAATGAGAGTTTTTAGATCTCTCCCCAGGCCTCACTAATCTGTCAAATAACCCCCAGTATGAGGATTTGATTACTGTAATGACAATGCAGATGGTTCAGAGAGTTATTAATGAAGGTATTTTTTTCCCATTAACTATTTAAGATAACCCCATTGTTGCAGCATCACATGCTTCCAAAACTACTATTTTGTAGGGCCAAACAACCTTAGCTGGTTTGCACATAAAAAAACTCTCTCCCAAAGACATTACTATTATATTCCCATTAATGGCCAAACTATACTTAAGTTCAAAACCAGAAATAGCAGATTCAGGACCACATCCCAGTTCCACCAGGGGAAAACAGAAACACAAGAATTAGAAACAAAAGGAGCCTCCACCCAGCTACAGCATTCAAATGCCTCACATTCAATATGCTTGGATTCAAAAACCCATCACCAGCAGACCTTTAGCTATTCACCAAAGTTCCACAAAATCAACCTTCATAGTTGAGAAGATGTCTATGGTAGGAAAACCAAAATCTAACAAAAAAATTCAACATTTACTCCAACCTCCTACCTGCTTAATGAAAACAACACTAGCAACCTCACCAACCGTCAGGGTATACTTGCATAAAATGAGTCGATCACCAATAAAAGTGGACTACAAGGGAAACAAACAGCTTGGAAAATGCTATCACAATCATTTATTAGGATTTCTCAAGACACCTCTGCTGCTGCATCAAACCAATCAAGCTACATGAGTTTATAGACATTCCATGGTGAGGAGGGATGCTGGATAGGCAGAGTTTGTGTGAATGTTACAAGGACTATCGAATTCCTAATGTAAATTGCACAACTAAAATAGCAATTACTATCAATCAAACAGCATGGAGAGCCAAGTAACGAGGAATCTGAGAGCACAGAGAATGAGTCGATCACCAATAAAAGTGGACTAAAAGGGATACAAACAGTTTGGAAAATGCTATCACAATCATTTATTAGGATTTCTCAAGACAACTCTGCTGCTGCATCAAACCTATCAAGCTACATGAGTTTATAGACATTCCATGGGGAGGAGGGATGCTGGATAGGCAGAGTTTATTTGAATGTTACAAAGACTATCGAATTCCTAATGTAAATTGCACAACTAAAATAGCAATTATTATCAATCAAACAGCATGGAGAGCTAAATAACAAGGAATTTGAGAGCACAGAGCAAGCGGGCTGGACTTCCTATAAGCCAGTGCCAACTAGAAGAACAATAACACATAAGTGGCTTAACAGTATGCCAAAAACATTCAACTAGGTCAGCTACCAAATGAAAATTATAATCTAATGGATGCAAGACTACACTCTTGGGTGGAGTTCTTGAAAGTGGCCCCTAGTCCCTAGAGGTACAGTATCTTACACGATACTTGTGAGTTCAAGTTGATGTCCAATTGCTGTTTGGTAAACAAACCCACTTTCTGTCCTATATTTAAATCCTACATTCAAGTCATCTACCTGCTCTATAAGAAGAAGAATAAAAAACGACCAATCAGTACATTTATTCAAACTTGTGAACGGTTTTGATTCTCCAACATAGTGAGTGGGTTATGAATTAGCCCATCTCTTGATTATAACAGCATAATTCATAGGCGAATGAAAAAGCAAAAAACATAGATAATTGCAGAGCATCAAGCAAATATAAAAACCAACCCATCTCTTCATTCCACTCAAGATCAGAGAGTGTATACCATATATATTTCATCCGCAGTTGACTCGTTCACAAAAGATAATTCCATAATAAACATACCTCTAATCCATGAAATAGAAAAGACTGCATCTCCTCGAATGTACTAGGACAAGCTTAATAGCTGATCATCAAGACAATAAGGAAACTAATGAGGACTGCTAATTGCTTCAACATACATACGATTCAGTGAAGGTAATCGCATCTGTTGATCCTGAGATCTGCTCCTCTTGTGTAGAGGCATGGGCGATGATGAGACAGAAGAAGCCACAGCCCACGAGTCATTTGAGCTATCACTGCTGAAAGAGACATCAATTACACCACTTGGGCTGCTGGGGGTTGATGGATGCTTGCGTTTATGACTTTGCTTCTCTCGTGAACCTGCCAGCTCCAAGATGAGTTCATAACACTCTTCCACCTTATCCTATTATAAACATGTAGTAGAAAGGGGAAACAAAGTTAAAAGGGCTATTTGCATCACATAGCCAGATCACATGTTACCAATTAAGCCAAAGGCACAAACCTCACTGATTTTGAGCAAAGACATAAGCTGGTTTTGGTATTCAGTTTCATTACATGGCTCAACCTCCTTGATAACATGCAGCATTATTGCAGTAGCTAATGTGGATGGGAGATAACTCATGAATCTGGAATCTGAGAACAAAATCCATAAATAAGTTTCACAGGTCAACATTCAAAGATAGAGCAACTCCATTGGTTTTAAGTCAAGATTCTATATATTACCAATAACAGAAGGAGAGTTTATTTCTACTCACCAGCAATTACTGAAAGAACTAAACGTTCACACCTCCATAGGAATTCCCAGTGCAGATGGGTCTTTAATCCAAATCTCCTAATAATGTGGTCAAAGAAAGAAATTGGGGTGACCGGATTCATTCTCCACTGAAGTGTAGACAGGACGAGAAGCTCCATTCTCTTTATGGTCTTGGGTTCAAACACAAACTTGGAGTCCTCCACCTAAGAAACACAAATGAACATGAAACAAAAGTCAACATTGTTCGATTCATCAACCAATAGTCCAAAGAACAAAAAAAGTCCAGATTGCTGGGGGAAATCAAACATACTTGCAAGTCCAACAGAAGAGGCACTTGAGTTTCCTCCACTTTAGCAGCCAGCGACAAACAAGCCACAGCAGCAAGCTGACCCATCCATGGCTTGTCTGTTTGGAAAGTAAAGCTGGAAAGAAACCTATCGAAGTAATTGACAGCAAGAACACAGGTTAAAGCAGTGAAACCATAATGTGCTTTTACTCGCAAAATCCAATCAATGGCTTCTCTGCGGGCAAGCATCAAACAGCTACTGCGGGAACCAGATGAACGGGTCTCTTTCTCTTTGGAAATCAAGGAAATCAGCTCGCCTTCCTCCCAGAACAGGTCCTGTTCGAGCAAAACGACAGAGAAAGGGGATCCTTTTCCAACATTCTGGTCACAGATTTCACTCCCTTGCTCTTCATCTGCCTCTAGCACGACGCCGTACCCACGATCCTCCCCATCTCCTTCCTCGAACACATCTTCCTCGCAGTAAAGCCCATCGAGAACCAATGCCGAGGCGGCGGCGGCGGCTAGCTGCTGATGCTGCTGCTCTGGTTGCCGGAAAGCCATCTCCTTTAGAGCAGAAGAGATTCAGCCCTCTTCTGATTATAACATTTGAACAAAATCTTCTAATAAACACAGAATAATCTTTGCATTTTACTTTTGTAATCTTTTTGGCGATTACTCTTCCGCTATCTTTTCTCCCCTTTCCCCCTCTAGTCTAGACTCGGCTCCTATTGGATTCGAGAGATGATGAGAGAGGGAGAGCAGTAGAGAGAGGTCGGGCGGGTTTGTAGGGCAAGTGAAGGTTTTTATCTGGGAAAGCTTTCAGTTTCACGCCTGTCTTTCCTTTTCCTTTTTTCCCTTTACTATTATAATAATTTAAATGAATATAAGCTTTTAGAGAATTTTAAATAACATTTATTTTATTTTTCTACTTAATGTTTTTATTATCGAAATCTGCAGTAATTTTATTAAGCAGAACTTAGGCTACGTTGTCCGGTACAAGTTGGTCAACAAGATAAACAAGCGGTCTATCCAGCCATACAATTTGTTCATTCCATTGAGTTTCTGTATTTACCATAATATGAGCAGCCATATTCCCTTCGCGGGGAGTGAAACACCACGAACCATTCCCCATCTCTCTTAAGATGCCCGTAATACTACTGCACAAAGTGCCCAGTTCAGTCTGATTACTCCCTGGCTCGGATAGCTTTGATTTAAGAGTAAGACTGTCGATCTCAAGCATCGGGCTGTTGACCACGAACTGACGAGCTAATCTGGCCCCAATCTCGGCAGCCAACGTCTCGGCCACAAGCACATCCCACTGTCCTGGAATCTTCTTTGTTGATGCCAGAACGAAATTTCCTTGGTCATCTCGAATCACGACACCCAGGTCGACTCCACCATTATCCATAATGCCCTCATCAGTATTGATCTTGACCTTCCCCAAATCCGGCTTCTCGCCAGTGCTTGATGGGTGGCACTGCTTGCTCCGACTCCTTCGTTTGGTGTTGCTAGTAATACTCAAGAAAGAACTGCACCCGAGCAATTATCTCCTTTTTCTCTAGCTTTTGTCCATTAAAAAGATGAGTGTTTCACTCTTTCCAAAAGAACCAAAGCAACACACTCCAGCTTTCCAATCTCTCTTCCTCAATTTCCTCCATTACCTTCTTGAACCACTCATAACACTGTTGGTTACCTTGACGAGAAAAACAGTTAGCCAAATCAGATTGTCGCCAAATACGCGAGGTCCATTGACACTCATTGAACAAGTGTACATGTGTTTCTTTCAGATCACAGAACGGACATTTTTCGCTCCTTCTCTTGCTCTTCAAACTGATATGATCCCCTGTTGGCAAAGCGTCACGTGCGAAACGCCATAAGAAGTGCTTAACTTTCGAAGTAATATGTAAAGCCCAAAGCTTTTTCCATAGCTGTGTGTCCCTCACTGTTGCCACATGATTCACATCCTTAAAAAAATTTAACCATAACTTATAGCCCGACTTCGCCGAATAGTCCCCATTAGGTGTGTCCATCCAGATTCTCCTGTCCGCTTCGCCAAGGTCTCGCTATGGGATCCGTTTAATTCATAAGACAATCTCGATCGGGAAACAAGTATTGACCACTACCTCATCTCATTGGTCCGTCTCCGGGAAATAAGATCCTGAATTGTGGCGTCCACCGGGAGACCCATGGAGGCAGAATTCACATTTGCCATCTGACAACCATTTGTCCCCCCCCCCCCCACACACACACTTTAAACAAGTTCACGTTCCCAATCTGCCACCGGATTACCTCGTTAAGTAGCTCCTGGGCGCTCATCAAATTCCGCCAATTGTAGCTAGGATGATGGCCTACATCAGGCTCCAAAATAAACTTCTTTTTGTGGTACTTGGCCTCAAGCATGCGAGCTATCAGAGAACTTAGCCTCTGGTGGATGCTCCACAACTGCTTGGCTAGCAGCGTCGTATTAAAACCATATAAGTTACAGAACTTCAATCCCCCTCCTCCTTAGGGCACGACAACTCCTCATGGTTCACCAAATGAATGCGTCTTTCAGATCCCTTCTGTCCCTAGTAAAAATTCGTAATCAAGCCATGGACCTCCTCCACAATCGAGCTAGGGATTCTGAAAACAGACATCGCATACGTAAACTGTGCTTGAGCCACTACTTTAATCAATATCTCCCTCCCTCCAACCGAGAGAATCTTTTTTATAGCTTCTTACGCACCCTTTTTATTAATCCCTCGAAAATCTCTTTCTTCGATCGACCTACCATAGTGGGCAGCCCCAGATACTTGTCATGCTTGTCCACCATAGTCATTTCCAGCGTGCCACTCACCATCACACGTTGGTGCGGCTTCACATGCTTACTAAAGGAAACCTTAGACTCTTGGAAATTAACATGTCGTCCAGATTCCTTCTCGTAAGCCTTCAGAAATCCTTTTAGCATGGAGCTTTCATGTTGTGTTGCCCGCCCGAAAAACACATTATCATCAGCGAAGAAAAGGTGGGAGACGAAGAGAGCTCCCCGTGCCGGCTGTATACCATGTAGGCTATGCTTAGCTACCACCTTCTTCATAAATGTCGAAAGCCCGTCCGCATAGAGAAGGAAAAGATAAGTGGATAGCAGATCGCTCTGTTGTAACCCTCTACTAGGTGAAAAGATCTCTGACGGATGGCCATTAACCAACACTGAATAAGTGACCGAACGAACACACATCATTATGGCATTAATCCACTGCTCAGCGAACCCCATCCTGCGCATAATCCCATCTAGGAAGTACCACTCCACCTTGTCATAAGCCTTGGCCAGATCAATTTTCGCCACAAAGTAACCCACTCCACCCTCCTTCTGGTTCTTCATCGTGTGGAAACACTTAAAAGTAGCCATGGTATTATCCGTAATCGCTCTCCCCGGTACAAAGTCACTCTGCTCTGGAGCGATCACTGTATCCATGTATGATTGGCCACCCTCTTTCTCTTCTGCTGGCAAAATATAGTTAAAGTCACCTCCACACAACCATGGTCCATCCCATTGTTGTGCCAACCTACTCAACATCTCCCATGTACGGCTTACTCCGGATTATATTGATTATTGCACTCAAGCCTACTGCATCTCTTTTGTATCTTATTGTCGGTATGTTTGAGTTTTTATGTTGTTTTGGGTGGGTTGTCTTGAAGGCTGAAATGCTTGGCAGCTTCAGTATGTTTCATTTTTCTTGTTTTAATCTTTCACAGACATGCTTCATAAATTAGTTTAGCTATACATGAAATTCTTGAGCAGCAACGACAGTTTAAAGCAGGGCAATTTGGATTGAAATTACCCAAATCCAAATCTTTGATCCATGCTTAGGCTCCCAGATCTCTTGTCTCTCATTGACCTGAAAAACAACCAATTCCAAACAACGAGTGCTACCATAAACTGATTAGTTTTTGGATGATTGAGCAATGAGTTTCTTAGATCTTTTTTGCGTCTTGAATGGGTTAATAGACTATGTTTTCTCTCGTTTCCATGAATGTTTATTTACTTGCGAACTTTCATGTTCACGTAGGGATGGTTGACGCTAGAGGTCCAACAACATCAATATAACGGAGATCTACCCATTTATTGGTAAGTTTGGTCCTATCTCACTTTGTCCTGCCCTTTGTTCCTTTATTTTTCTTTTTATGTTTGTTGCTTTTGATAGCAATCTTGGCTGTAGTTTGAGAAATTGACAAGTGAGCTAAAATGGAGCTGTTTCACTAATTGAAGGCATCGATGTTGGTCAATCATTGAAGGGCTGGAGTCTCATGTGTTCTTGCCTTTTTATTTCTAATTTATAGAACAGTGGATGGCCAATCCTCCATCACAAATAGTGACGTTTTTTATGCTCTTGAAATTTGTCTCATATTATTAGAGCTTGTATAGTTCTGAATGTATCATACACCGGTGTGCCCGGATTGTAAGGGGTCTCTTGACCATCAAATATTTCTATACACTACTTTGGTGTATATATTGTTAAATAATAAATATTGTTGATTGAATTGCTTATGAAGTTGCTCTCAATGAACTTGAATTTCATGGTATTGAGTCTTATCGTTGCTCCTAAAGACCATTAATTTCAATTCATACAAACTGGAGGGCGAGAAAAGAGATCTAGTAGCAATTATACTAAAAAAGCAATATATGGTTAATAAATATTTTGAAGCAAATGTAATTGTCTCGAATGACTACTATTAAGAACAAATGAAATTGACTCTAAAAGTCAAATTGGAGACAAATATTTGAGTCCCCAACAACTAATATTAGAAACTAAAGAATATGTCTCTAAAGGAGAAATCAGAGACAAATATTTATGTCCCTAAATGTACTTATGCAGACAAAATATTTATCTCTAAAAAGAGTCTTTAGAGACTAAAATATTAGGTGTTGTTTTCCCAATCAGTAACAAATAATATTTGTCTCGATATCTGTTTCCATAAGCCTACTGCAACAACTCTAGAGGAGACAAATGCAGTATTTGCATCTAAAAGAATATACAAACAATGAGTATTCAATAGAGACACATTTTCATTGTTTCAATAGCCCATTTTTCTTGTAGTGATACTGAATTCATCAATAAAGGAGTCTACATCCATACTAATCGCATACTACTTTTTTTCAAATAAAATAGTTAACCAATCGGCGAGAAATTCATCGCTCATTTTGTTGCACAAATCATTTTCACCTGTTCCATTGTTGAAAAGGTTCTCTCCATAGTAGTTGTTGAAATGGACAATGTCAACACTAGACAAATCAATCCACTAATAAACTTGTATTGTGTATCCATCATTATTTCCACCACCTACTCTAGTGATTTTTCAAGTGAACAAATCTCATATTTCTTTTAACCTTTTACGTTTTAAACTTTTAGAATTTTAGGTTTTATTGTTTGTTTTTCTTTAGACGAGACTCATTTGAGCTAGAATTTCTAGACTAAATTTAGAGTTATAATTTGAATATGTTCATCTTACCCATGTTCCTAATTACACACAATTATATTATAAACTAACACTGGGCCGAATGACTAAAATCGATAAACGCATAAGGACTATACTAGTTCCGGATTCAGAGAAGGGCTAGGCTGTGGCCCGGGGTGGCCACCCCCCGGATCCGCCACTGGGTGTGGGACACGTTAAGACCATTAATTTGTCGACCATCCTATATTCTTAGGTTAAACATAACATAATGTATACCTATGACTCCTAATTTGCACACTAGTCTTCATAATGTAATAATAATTATTAATAATTGGCTAGGTAAGAGAACGTCAT